GCATCTTACATGTTCTGCCCACCTCGTTACTATCGTCCTTACTGTATATCCAATATAGAATCGCCTACAGTAAGGACTAACTATAGCATATACCCAGACCGACTAACGTCAGTTTTGTCAAGTTCGACAAATTTTAACAGCTTTCTAATCCATGGAACATGCCCTCTCACGGTCATCAGAAGTAGAAGCAGTGCTAATTCGTTCTCCTCATCCCTGTTCATCTACGGCCGTATCTTCTATCTCCCTATACCTCCTTCTTTCGGTCAGTTCTCTGAACTTGATAGCAGCGGTACGAGTCGCAATCTGGTAAGCCATTACGGAGCATCAAGCCCACCAACCCGCGAAGTCGGCGTCTGACTCTTCAGCTCGAAGAAGCCTTCATACGGGAGTCGTGTACGGCACCTTACGATCTCTTGAATGGAGACGTCCTTCTTGACGTATACAACACCTTCCTTGTCACAAATCTTCCGAATCTCCCCCGCTTTCATTGCACTTAGCAACTTTGTCTGAGAGAGGGTGAAGTCAACCAAACCTTCGCTCGAGCATTCCGCGGGACAGGCCTTCGTCGGAGTTATGAAGCCTTCATCACTTGGCGAGAGGTTGTCCACCTGAGCCTTATCGATTCTCGGCGTAGGTACCTTCTTTGCCCGATTGACTGCTGCTCGCATGAACACAACGCGCTGCTTAGGTTTCCTCCGACTCTCCAGCGCCTCAATTAACTTTTCAGCCTCCTTCTTCACTTCGTCACTATCGTCTTCAGATTCGGCAATATAGCTTGTGATATCTCGCAGCATACGTGCCTTGGAGCGTTGCGAGTTCTTCTTGATTCCACTCCCCGCCAGCGGTGTGGGACTTACCATCAACGATGCTCTCTGCTGCGTAAGGATCCTAACAATGGTCGCTTCTAGCTTAGCTTCTCTTGCCTGTTCCTCCCTAAGTTTTTCACCCTCCCATCGTTCCTCCTTCTCTTTACGTTTCACCTCATCCATCTCACGCTTCTTCCTCTCCTCCTCCTCTTTCTCTCTCCTCCCAATTCGAAGAAGTATCTCCCTCATTTCAATATTGTCCTCCTCTCATATTTGTCTATTCGTGGTCTGCCAGCAATTCCGTGCATAGTGCTATTCTTCCCGCATATGAAGCATGTCACGACGCCATACTGTGCGGCTACCCCACTCCCCGGTGCAGCCCCTTGCTGACCAGCGACACCCATCCCTTGCATCGCAGGATTCATCGGACCAAGTCCTCCCATAGCTTGGTCGATCCCTCCGTGCCCTCCCATGTTCAGCGCACCTAAACTCGTCATCGCCGTCGCGCCTACTCCCGCCATCCCCGCTACTTCTCAAACTAGGCTATTCACCACAAAAAGAGCATGTCTGATATGTGCAAGGACACGATAAAAACGCCTTACGACACTTGAAAGAGCTCGTATAACCCGCACTTTGTACACCCTCGAAGCGATTTTCGCACGTCTAACCAGAGGAGCCACAATGGTATGATATACTATCCCAAGCAGCCGTTCACTACTGCTTAAGTACTCCACAATCGCCCTCCGCCCTCGATCAGTACGTCTGCCCGGGGCAGTCATACGCCAAAGTATGCTACCTACCATCTCCCGCAAAACTTCCCGAATCCGCCTTACTGCACGCAGATCGCGAAAGATTCGGATCTTTCACCCCAACTGCGACGCCATCTCTACGACAATCCTGACAATCCTTACTTCCCAATCCCCCAAACTCATCCACTTCAGCAGGTTCCTCGTTACCCGTGGGGTAACTAATAACCTACGTGACCACGCTTACGGCCAGAGGCTACGTTGGTTGTCACGCTTACCTCGAAGTCAAGGTAGTCCAAACAGATACAACACTGTCCCTCGGAGGGCAGAAAGAAAATTTCATGCCAAACACCGCACAGATCACCCAAAAACCTCGATGCGTTTCGACTTGGTGCGTGCCCAAGTCTCTTCAGGAGGAAGGAGGAGCATAACTCCTCATCAATCAGCACGGAATCATACCGACCATTCCCTCTTACCTCTATCCCACCTCTTCCTCTTCACGCCCAGCCTACTTCCCACAACTCGTTCACGACATATCAGGTCTCTCCCATACTCTCGCATACAACTCCCTACGCTCGTCATCCGATAAGGCCAGAGGCAAAGCTATTATTCTGATATGAGCAGTGCTACGTGCTGGAGATGCTCATTACCATCGTGATTACAGACATATATATTTTCGTTCCACGAAGTTCCAGAGGTAAAAACGTGCCCAAAGGTACTACAAAGTGCCGATTGTGCTCATGTCCTTCAAAAACCAGATTCGTTGCTACGTACAACGCGGAGCACAAGTTAGCAGTTCTCGTCAGGGTGCCCAAAAACTGCCGGTACAGTACTGGGCAGATGACCAAAATGACACCCGGGTTCCGATCGAGCGGTACAAGAACCAGATCCTGATAGAGACGAACTTCCCACTTGACTTCTTGCTCCGTCAAGGCTACGGATCTGGGTACATCTCCCGCAAAGCACCTCATTACCTCTTCATTGGTGACATGCAAAGAGTTGTGTCTCCACCCTTTGGGAACAACCTGTACGACGATTTCCACCAATTGGAGCGTCATCAAGCTTCTTCCGCATGTTATGTTCTTCGAGTTATGCAAGAATCGGTGAACCCCCTTCACATCGTCGAGCCTAGCCCGAGCATGCCCTTGAAAT